TAACCCAGCTCGCTGCAGAGTAAAAATAGGCACCAGCTCTGATGGTGATTTGCATATTTGCATCTTGAACTAGATTAGGGGATGGTTTAAAATAATTCCAGATTCCTTCGAGCCCTTCTTTTCCTGCGCTTTCAGGAAACGCCACTTTGTGAGTCTTTGAAAGATGGTCCCAAAATAATTCCCTTTTCAATGTGTTTCTGGAAGCTGGAGGAAGCTGAGACGTCGCTCGGTGTTGCTTTTGCCTCCTCTGGTGTCTCCTGTAATCCTTCTGTCCCGGTGGCTTTAGGGAATCTCTGCAGTTTGGAGACCCGGAATGGGAGCGATCCGTGAGTCCAGCGGGAAGAGGGTTTGATACGGTGACAGCGAGGACGTGATCCTGTGGGAACAGGAGGTTTTTACAGTGCTGCCTCGGGGTGTTTTGGAAAATCCAGAGAACTGGAGCGTTCTTCTTGAAGGAAACAAGTTTCACCAGAATTCCCTTGTCTTTTGGCAGAGGTGGCACTGCAAGCACAAGTCTCCTTGGGAAGAGCTGGCAAGGGATGCTCCCAGCCGGATCCAAGGTGCTGAGCCAGGAACTTGCACAGAATCTCTTTTTCTTTTCCTTTTTGGATGTATTTAGAAGTGAAGGAGCATTGTACTTCCTTGTGGGAAAGGAGGGGGCTCGAGGATGTTTGGAGCTCCTTCAGACTGTGAGGATCTGCCTTGTTCCCCTCCCAGGGGGGAGCTGAGTGGAACAGGAATCGCCTCGATGGGACCAGGGGGCTCTTCCTCTCTTGGATTTCCTTTCTCTGCCACCATGTCCGTGTCTAAACAACCATGGATCACAGAGGAACTCTTGGGAAAGGTGGATTTAAGGCAGAATCCACGTGCTGGTGGGTGGGAATGTGCTCCCCACACAAGGAGTGGAAAACAGCAGCCGTGTCCCTGGAGCTGGGAAGTGTGGCTGAGAAAAGAAATCCAAGGATTTCTTCCCTGATGCACTTTTTAAAGGGGTGGGGTTTGTACCAGGGAGCAGATGAGCTGGATTATCCTTATCCATATCCTGGGAATGTGGGATTTCTTTCTTTTTTCTGTTTCAACACTGAAAAAAATCATTCTGTTCCTTTTCCCTCCTCACTGTAGCAAGGTCACATCCATGCCTGCTCTAACAACCTGTGGGGAGTAATAACCCTTAGATTGGGGAAATAATGGAAGCAATTCACTGATACAAACATCTGGATTCAATCCATGGAGCTCCCAGATGTCTCCATAAGTAGTTTTGGTGTCTGAATTCTGTCCCCAGTTGGAATTCCCAGATTTTGGGCTGTTGAGTGACCCAACCCCCCCTTCACTCAGCACCTCCTCCCCTGGTTTCACCTTTTATTTAATGATCATGACCTTCTGTTCACTTGCAGCCTCGTGCTCATGCAATAAGGTGTTGAGAACCTGCTCTTTAAATCACTTTTTATTTAAATTTGTGCAATTGGGAGGGAGATTTTTTTTGTCTTTCCTTTTGACAGGCCTTTAATTTGTCTTGATCCTTCCCCTGGAAGTAGCTCAGTACAAACAGCACCCGTGGCAATACTGAAGTGTTTTGATAACTTGTTCCTTGTGTCTTTTAAGGAAATGAATTGATTTCAATGCTGCTCTTCCAAATTCTTGTTGTTTGGAGCTTTTGTTGTAAGAGTTGACTTTGTTCCGAGTTGGTTTGTGGTCAAATTAAACTTTGCTCTCGTTGGTGTAAATCTTCCATGTTTGTTAGGAATTTGGGATTGGTGTTTTCCAAGCTTTGGCCCAAGAGAAATCTTGACTGGAGCCAGCCAAATGTGATTTGATTATGTTCAGTTCCTTGTTAAATATAAATAATGTATATACTCATTTGTCTGAGGTTTTCTACGCAGCTCCACACACGCCTGGACTTTTCTAAAAGCAGGATTTGTCCTCCTCTCATCTCTTCTCTTCCTAACTCTGTGATATGCAACTTGTAGATAGTGTAAAATAATTTAATTATTATTAAACCAGTGTATTTAGAGGGGGGTTGCTGTTTCTCTTCACACTTGTAGACACGATCATATTTATTTTTGAGGCCTGATTGTAACTGAACATGCTGCCAAAGGATTTCTCTAACTCCAGATTTCTACCTTAGGTTTGTACCTGCTGTTTTCTATTGGGAATTCACATTGGGAATTCTATTGGAGAACTCCTGCTTTTTCATATAAACCCTTAACATAGGAACCCGGGCGACTTTGTAACGAGAACTTTATTGGGGTATATTTGTTTCACGGGTGTTCAGTACCAATAATAGATTCATTTTCTCCTGCTGTGAGTTGGTGACCTGTTCTGTCCGTTCAGCTTGTCCTTGTCACCCCACCCAGGGTGGGCTGAGGGGTCGTGCTGTCACCTGATGTGACCAAGGCTTTGTCTGTTCGACTGGCTGCAGAAATAATGTTAAAAAATCAGATTGTTCCAACCTTCCGAAGGATGCTGCGTGTTCATTGTGCTGGTGGTGTGGGCTGGAGCTCTGGCCTCTCTCAGGAACTATTTCCTGAGAGGAAGAGGATTTTCTTCCTTGTTTTTATCTTTTCTAAGAACCTCTTGGTGACACTGAGCACTGCGAGGTGTCTGGAGTGAGTCATGGTTGTTAACAAACACACCTGAGGAGGAGTCTCTTGGCTGTGCACTTAATTCCCTGTCAAAGGAGGAATTCTCTTTGCTAAGTGATTAATTCCATGTTAAAAGAGGAATTCTTTTTGCCACAGGGTTTAATTCCCTGTTAAAAGAGGCAAAATCTGAATTGTCTGAATGGGACTGAGATTTCTGGCTCATCCCAAATACAAATGAATCCTTCAATCCTGCTGCTAAAGCTGTGCATGGGCAACAAAAACGTGGGCAAGGAGCCTGATGTAGCAACCCCAGAAATTGTTTTTACACGTAAATCTCCTGGTTCTCATCATTTATTTCCAGCCCCTTGGAGTTGCTGACCCCGGTGGGTTGATTTTGGGTCACTTCAGGCTGAAAATATAAACTTTACCAGCCTTTATAAAGCCAAATCATATCCTGAATTACTGGGAAATGCTGGGTTGCCTTTCCTTTTGCATCCCAATCTTGCCTTGCTGGAGTGAGCCCTGATCCATTGGGTTTTCTGGACAGAACCTTTCCTTGGGAAATCAGCCTCCCCACCATTAATGTGTGAAGGAAAGTGCCTTCCCAGGACCGATTTAATGATGCAACTGAATGTAAAAATAATCTCATTTCGACTCCAGCCTTCATGACCCACATTCATCTTGGACAAAGAAACCAGGCTGCTCCTGCCAGCCAGGAATTAAAGGATTTGGAGTCTGGAGCGAGGGAGGAGGACGTTGGACCCTCCCCAGGATCCATGTGTGTGCTCAGAGTGCAGGTGTGAGATCACTCCAGAGCCAGGCACGTTCCTCCTCCTGCTCATCCCGGTGGGAGGTGTGATGTGTGATGTGCCTGTAGGTGAAGCTCAGCACTGGGAAGCAGGAAATCCAGGAAATCCAGGTCCTGCTTCCAGCGCTTCCACTGGAAGATTTCAGCTTCAAACAAATCACTTCGTCTCCTGCTTTAGCTTTTTTTCCTCCACGCCCTGGACTTTGGAGCTCTTTCCCTGTCTGGGGGTTGATGCCAGTTCGTGCTGATGGGGCTGGGAAGGGCTGGGGAGTGCCCTGCTGGTCCTGGCTCAGCTTGAGGGGTTAAACCAGGCTCAGAGGGTGGAGCTTGTCCCGAGCACCCCTGTCACATCTCCCTTTGCCACGGTCACTGGGGAACCCTGGAGTGGTTTGGGTTGGAAGGGAAATTAAGGATCATCCAGTCTCACCCCCTGCCA